ATCTACCAGCAGCTTCAGGGCTAGTGATGTTTCAAGTGGTAAGATTATGAGCTTTAATAAGTAAAATTATCCCAGCTACAACGACAGACAACAAATAATACGTTTATAGGATTACAACTAAAACCGTTTTTGATGCCGCCACCGCAGTTTGTCCTTCATGAGCCTTCGTAGACAAGATGGCGGTGCAAGATGGGGGCTGCCTGTACTGGCGACCCACGACCATGGAGATATAAACAGCTTTTTATAAGGTAAAAATAATAAAACAAGGTCTTTGTCTGCAATAATTAGACATGTTTTTTTATCATTGTCATTAGTGATTATCTCAATTTCGGCTAAAAGAATTGACAAAATCCTACACACTGTGCCTTTAAATGTTTTACTAACACTGGAGAGGTTTTCCTTTCTCACTTTTATTTTTTCATCTTTCTTACACAAATATTTGACAAACATGCTTATTATCAATTCTTCTTCATTAAGTTTCCCTAACCAAGGGTCAAAGGGGGAAAAAAACACATCATCACATTCTTAACTTTATAAGTTTTTTTATAATGCTTGCTTCAGCAGGTTGTTGTAAAACTCCTGTGGGTGCACCTTTTTTATGCACAGGACTTCATAAAAGATTTATTTGAAACAGTTTCAAAGGTAAAGACGTGAGACAAAGATCACTTTGGTAAATAACAGATGTTCTATACAAGAACAGCTGGGAAAAGCTGTAACTGGTGTCCCAGATAAACAGACATCAATCCTGAAGACCTTTTAAAAGAGGAACAAGGAAATAAAAAAGCAACTAGGCTTTTTCTGTAGGGGCTTTTGTTCTGGAGGATAAATGATAAAGAAAAAGAGAACTTTATTTCCTGAAAATGCTCCAATTTCTGATCAGAAAAACAGATTTAATCCCAGAAGTGAGCACATTGGATCAGATTCCCAGACCTGTTATTCCTGTCATTTGGGGAGAATTAAGTCTGATAAAGTTGTGTTTTTTTATTAACAACGTTTATTATTGTCTGTTGATGAAATTGAAAAGAGTTTTTTTTTCCCTGTGTCAGTTTGTGTGTTCGTTGGTCTGCATCYTTAGCAAAATAAATGGATTTTAATGAATTTTTCAGAGTAAGGGAGTACATCTACAACTGATTACCGTAACTTTTATCAACACAATGACCGACACAACTTAACCTTAAAGAGTCTGGGACGTGCAATTTCTTCAAATGGAGTTAAAGAGAAAAAAGTTTWAAAAAAAACATCCTTATCTTTAAGAAACTTGGCCATAATACCCATTTTACCCATTTGTCACAAAACTGGCATATTCAGTGTTGTATAAAGTACCTCAAAATGATACTTGAGTAAAAGTACAAGTATTATATCATACAAATACTTTGGAAAAAGTTAAAGTCTTCTCTAAGAATATTACCTTGAAGTATCTGATATTTTTTGTATTTAAGTACAAAAAGTATTAAAAGTAAAAGTATTGAGTAAAANCAAAGTTTGCCTAAGTGAACAAGTAACATCTGGGGTTGCGAGTGTCTGCAACTGTTATTTTGTGGGCTGGAAGCAAAAAAGTTTGAAAARCACTGATCTAGTTTAACTACATAATTATGTCCCCCGCACTATCAGAAACAGTTTTCGTACTGTTTATTTTTTATTTATTTCATTTTATTACTTTATTTTTATAAAGATTTTTGGTTAACCGTAGCARGGAAACGGCAGCACCGATCAACGTGGAATTTAGCGAGAACGTAGATGAGTCCGACCTACGCTGAGCCAGTCAGCCATCCTAAGACAGACCACATATTTGAGGAGGGGGCTCCATTTAAAAAGGGGGTGTCTGGACATACATAAACGCTTATAACTCAAAAACTATTCAACATAGGAGCTTCAGATTTTATTTAGCTGTTGTTGTTTAGCTCTGATGAAGGGCTAGCCATCAGGCCACCAATGAGCACTCCCCACCCCCGCTCAAAACAAGCACCATGAAATTTGGCAGGATTGTATGAGTCTGATCTACACTGCCATACCTCCAATCCTCCATACCTCAAAATCTATTCAACATAGGAGCTTCAGATTATTTTGTTGTTTAGCTCTGATAAAGGGTTATCCATCTGGCCCACCAATGAGCACKCCCCACCCCAACTCCCCTGGACCCAAACCCAAAACAATGAATCTGTTCTGGTGACTTCTGAGTTCTGGTGCATTTGTGCTTTGCGTATGTGCGGGGGTCATATATGCTACCGCTAAGTTTATTTTAAAATACAGAGTAATTTTGGACTGTGTGGTCATTTTTAAAAAGAAAAAGTTAAGAATTTTTGTGTCACTGAAACAAAAATATGAATCCTATTAATTCGACCAATTAGAATAACCAGAAACAGCCTTTACTCTAATTTGTTGTTCACATGATTAATTGTCATGTGAACAGGGGGGAGTTGAAGAAATTTATTAGTCAGGTTAGGTACTGATTTTAAGAGCACTACACCATTTTCTTAGTTTTCCTTTTTAAATATTGACTTTTATAATTCATTGTTTAACTATTGTCATGTCGATTAAAATAGCTTAGATACATGCCCGAAACACTTTCACAACACATTAAAAAAAAGGTTAATCAAACATAAGTACAGGTTTTTTGTCTGATTGTCTGCGATTCAGCCATAGGCCAGTAGTGGTTGTACCAGGCACTGAAGAACATGTGTATGTGTATACTATATACTGTATATATAT